TTTGGTAGCTTACAGTTGCATTGTATGGACTCTATCATGAGGCTATCCGCGTGGTGTAGGATTTTCTGGTAGTCGCCAGAGTCGCAAAGAGGACAACGACTGTCACATGCCAAGGAAGTCCAAGCTGAAAGAGGGGGGAGTGTTCCCAGCTGTGCAGGTCTGCTGCTTCCTGCGCAGTGCACATGTGATCACTCGACAGAAGCGAGAGCTATGTGTGGCCTGGTACTGACCGCCCGAGGGCAGGGAAGAAGCATATGAGAGAGCTCACCGTTGTGCAGCTGGCATGTTGGAGCAAGACGACTTGACTTGCGATCAATTCGACGAAGTCGGTGGAAGTCACGAGAAGGCATTGGGCCCTTTCCCTGATCCAAAAGCAAAACGGAACCAATTCCAAAAGAACACAGCCTTCTCTCCCCCAGCACTGCCAATGGTTCGGTTCATCACATCCGGATGTGACTGGGGCGGCACCTGGAGCCTTTCCGCTCTCGAGAAGGCACCCCTACCTCCACTTCTCGTTTGGCCAAGCTGAGGATCGTCTCTGGCGGGCCTTGACAGCCTTTGAGCAGGTCTTCTTCGTCTTGGCCATCGCCTCAGTGGGCGGAAGAAAACATCACGTCGTCTGCGCCGTCTGCGCCGAACGAGTTTCTATGTTTTCTTTCCTTTTCCGCAGCAACAGAACGAAGTGGATGGCTGGTGGGGAGTTGAAGAGGATGAAGCAGATGTTCACCCCCGGTCAGCAAGAGAATGACATCTTGAGCCCGGACCACATGAGAGGTTCGGGTTAGCGATCAAATGAAATGAATGTACAGTCGTGAATCATGATGAATGAAGCCAAACATCAAAGCACTCACTCAATTCACTCCTTGGATGAAAAGGCCCATTTTCTTTGCTGTGAGTCTCCGACCCCTGTCTCCGACCCGTCTCCGAGGTGCTCGAGTCTGGCCTTCAAGATCAAGGGATTTGTGAGGAGCCGACGACTGGACTTGTAGAGTGACAACTGGACGAAACAAAGGGTCAATTGGTCCAAAGTTGCCAAAGAAAATGAAGGTGACATCATTGAACCTAAACCTTTTTGTTTTGAAGCTCGTATGAGCGCAATTTTCTTATGCTCTCCGGGGCAACTAGTGATTTGGCCCAAGTCTCCGTTCCAAAATTTGCAAGCATGTTTGTTGGGATTTGTTTTCAGCCACCTCTTTGCTTGTTCTTGATTAAGACACGGCCGAACCTGGCTTGAGGAGCTATTTCAAATCTTACGTGCGCAAGAACACCCGCGAAAGAATTCTTTGCATGCCAGCATTTGGTCCAAACAGTGGAGGTCGAATCTTAATGATTGAAAACTGGAGGGAGTAAGTAAAAAGCTATTAGTAACAAGTGCATCGCTTCTAGGAACAAGTGCCTTACTAGTAGTAACAAGAACGCTATTAGGAAAGGTTTCATCACCAAAAACAGATCGTGAGTGGTCCTAATAGCTTCTTGTTACTACTAGTAAGGCACCTGTTACTAGTAGCGATGCACTTGTTCCTAATAGCTTATTGTTTCAGGTTCCTGAAAAGTCGCATCCGCATCATGCGATTCATGAGTTGCCGTGACGTGAAGATGAGATGGCACCAGCGTTCCGCTGCAGAAACGCCGAGGTACTGTTGCAAGTGAAGGACTTGCCACGTTGCTCGTGCGCGAGACCTTGCGCATCTCTGCCACGGGGCATGGCTTTTCCATCGAGCTCAAGGCCGCTGGGGGGCGTCCGAGAGTCGAATGGGGTTCGGGTGCCGTGAAAGGGGCCTCGGTGGAACCGGCTGCAAAATATGCCTCCTCCATGCCATGCTTCTTGAAACATCGGGACAGAAAAAGAGAGCCTGTGAAAAGGTCGCAGAGTTGTGCCGGTTTTGTTTGGTGCGGAGCCCAAGATCATTGACATTTCAGAGACAGATAGATAGATCATTTACTTTAGAACTCTTTATATAGAACCTGAACCCTTAGGCCCTAAGCCAGAACGCACAACTTCCTGTATCAACCGCCCATCCTCGCTTCCCAACAACTCCAAAGTTTGGAAACACCGGAGATGTTGGGCTGGGGGTGCCAGGAGGAGGAGCCTGAGGAGCTGCCCTTCTGGGCGGAGCTGCCGGGGCTCAACGCCGCGCTGGCCGAGCAGCTGCTAGCGCTACACCGCAAAGTGCCGGAACGATGTGGGGCGCGGGAGGTGAGCCAGATTTTAGGTGGCTGGGCTGGTGAAGAAGGGAGAACTCGGCAAGGGGATGGGGAGGGTTGAGGATGCTTGTGAAAACAGTATACAGTACTTAGTATACTTGTCCCAGGCTGCTGAATTTGCCAAGCTTTTGTTGAGGCCTTCGGCTCGAAGAGAAGGTCATAGAGGAGATGCAAGCAGCCCTTGATCTCAAGCGAGAGAGCACAGTGTGCAGAAGGCAAGAGCCAGGCCCAGCTGGTGAAGAATCAGAAACATGTGGCCAGAAACAAGTGGAGGGTGTGCTTTTCGCAGATTGCTTGAAGCTTTTGGGGGTATTTACGGGTTCCCCCTTCTCACCACCCATATGAAGAACCCCACCTTGCAAGCTGCCACTTTCGGAGCCCTTCGGACACTTGTACATTGTAGATCCAGACTTCGGTCCGTTTTTTGCCACGGATGGAATGTATTTTGCGTGAGTTCGAGAGCTGCTTTGGCAAAAAACTGCCGTGGGCGGTTTTCGCCGACTGTAAGATGGTATTTTGGGGATCTGTTCGGTGGTTCAGTGTCTCTGATTGATCGACATCAGAATTCCGGCAGAAGTACCTCTCGGGAGTCACATGGGATGAGCGACTGCAGGCAAGCCGTTCTCCTATCAGCTCACCGGAACGGTGGAGAAGCGGCCGACCGTGCCGCCTGCGCGGTGTGGCCGGACCGTGCCAGCCTTGGCCGGAGTTGCCGCGCTGGAGGATTCGGAGGTGGAGGTGCAAACTCCTCAGGCATGAAAGGGCATTTGGCAGGGGTCAGCAGCTTTGAGGTTTTGTTGAATCTGATTTGCTTTGATCATTTTCTATGGAAGATAAAAGGGGCTGCTGATCGGTGGATTGATGGACACATAACTATATACAATGCTTATATATTTATATGTATATATAATCATCCTCGAGTAGATAGAATACGGAATTGAGCCGCCAACGTACCTTCCGTCATTTCAATTCCATATTCTAAGTACCTCGTTTTGACCCCAAAAAAAAAGTACATAGAATATCTCCGGGCGGATCAAACGAGTACTTGGAATATCGTGGAATGGTCTGTGGAATGAATTGGTTTGATTGACTCCTTAACTGCATGTGTTTCTGCTTCAGCTGGTGGTTTTGTTTTTTTCTATCATCTTCTTGATCATTCTTAACCTTCAGAAACTGCCTTAAGACACCCTTGAACATCCTAGAATTTACCAATCTCAATGACATTGGTGAAGAATTAAGCTGTTCTTCACCAGTCAGTGAAATCCCTTGTTCCTTCTAGTCTCTCACTTCTAGCCCATCTGTTCCCAAACCTATCCAAAAAATATTGCAGCGCAAGAGGAAAGGATTTGTGATGTCGTGGTGCTAGTGGAATGCTTTCCAAACTGGAAAGGGGACAGGACAGCAAAAGAGAAGGAAACTCAAGACTCAATAGCAAAAGAAAATGTTGCTTTCCTGTCAAACTTTCTTCATCTTCTCAGATTTCCAATCCAAAAACTTAAAGAAAAATTATTTTTGGAGCAGGAACCAGCCACATCCGCAACCATCCTGGAGTAGATAGAATATGAACCAGTCCAGAAGCATGACCAGTTTTTCATTGGATTGAATTTTTCCAATATTCTATCTACTCCACATTACCAACCAAAAATGATGAATGAAAGAGAATGAATTAGATAAACACTTTAAAAACTGAAACATCAGGACATAGGATAATTTTGTTTTCTTCAAGAAAACTCTCTAGCACAATTCCTTCAGTTTCCCTTATTAAAACTCTATCAAAATCTCAAGTTTTTGAAGCTCACCAAGGGTACCCCTCACACACACACATATTCTTTCACAACATGGTTTGACAATTTCACTTTTCACAAGTGTCCTTCAAACAGACTCCAAACCTCAAGGGAAGACAGGAACTGAAGGAATCTGACCAGGAAA